TTCCTTTGTCTCAGGATCATAACAGTAGATCCATGTCTCATCACCAGTCACCAGTTTGCCCAGGAAATCTGACTCGTTTCTTGCAAAATGTTCCAAAACAGCCACCGATGACTCCACACATTTCCTCTTTTGTTCGGTTGTCAAAAGTTTGGGGATCCACTCTGCTGCCAACTTTCTCATTTCCAAGGCATTGTGGATAATGGCACCAACTCTCTCATGTGATATTCTCAGATATATAGCAATACCTTTGGCTGAAATTTGGGTGTCCTCCATGATCATATCATAGATGGCTTTCACATTTGCAGGCACAGAAACAGAAACAGGCCTTCCACTAGGTTTCTCACTTTCAACACTGAAATGGCCAGTTTTAAAATTTACAACCCAATGTTGGATATGAAGGGTCACTGTCACCCATAGTTTGTGACATTTCATCATGGATCTGTTCTGCACCTTTCCCTTGGAGAAACAGGAACTTAATTATGGTCCTATGCTCTTCGACATTGAACTTTTCTGGAGGTGCTGCCATGTTCACTTTGGACCTGAACATGAAAGATAAGTTAAAATCATAGGTAGTTGATTTTTGCACCATTGAATACAGGCAAATTGGCCAATACACCTTGCAATTTATAGCTTCCTAGCTCAATTTCTTCTGGGAAAGGCTCAATATTTATCAACACCCCCTCGTATGTAGAGTGGCAACAATGTTGAAAAGGTACCAAAAATTTAAAACACCTCATAAAATATGTGATTTCTTTTTGGCAGAATAAAATGAAACTTTTTCTATAACTATAAATAGGAAAAATATTTTACATTAAGTGACTAAATGGAAAGACCAGACCAGCCAAAATGAGTCACATACAGGTCCTATTGAATTCAGCACATGTGACTCAAATATCCTTCTGCTACCTGGTCCCACATTTATTGACTAATTGATTAATTGATTTTGAATGGAATTGCCTTCTGCCTCAGATATGTGTGTGTAGCATGCACAGGCAAGAGTGTACTTCCTCAGATATTGTAACAAAAATTCATAATACTGTAGAGCAAAGGGAAAATAGGTCAGGCTAGCCTTGTGCCTTCTGCCATATATCAGATGCTTATAACTCACCAGTTTCTCATTCTTTGTCTGCAGGGATACTCTGTGGTGGGGTGACCAACTAGAGGCCCTTGGGCTAATTTTAAAAGCCCTCTGCAAATAATTAGGTCAGACCAGGACCTTGAAAAGTTGCCTTTTTGGATGATTGCTCCCAGATTCCATGCTGAACCAAATCAGCATCTGCCACAACCCCACTGAGCTCCACACACTAGCATGTGCCTCCATTGCTTGCCCATCAAGTTCAATTCGTAGGGGTTGAAAAAGTTGCCTATCTCCAATATAACTCCATAGAATAATATAGGGCAGGCAACAAACTAGAGGCTGTACAGAGGTCAGGTTTGTTACAGGATACACCTGAGACCATTTCCCATACATTCTCCCTTGAACTGGTTCCCACACTCTGCACCTCACAGGTGAGCTTTTTACTTTGTGTGTCCATGGTAGTGAAGCCATACCTAAACTGGTACTTCAACCTGCATCGTATCCATTGAATAAGGTATGCAAGTAAAAGCTTTCCTTCTACGTGCAGGAAGACAATCTGAAAGTTATCTTTCATATTATAGCCTTTATTTCACTGCTGGATAACTATGAGACATCGACTGGAATAGCAGAGCTGGTGACTCCAGAGGAAACAGCAGAAAACAATCGTTTTCTTGATGCTGTTTTGAAGACCGATGTGATGGAAGTGAGTAGAGCAGACCTTTTCAGTTTCTTGCATATTTGATAGATGTTAAACTCTGAACTAAATTCATTTTTATATCATCTCTTTTAGCTTGCTCATCAATATTTAGTTGGAAAAAAATGGACAAAACCAGAACTTAAAGATTTCAAATCTCAGCTGTGGGATATTTGGTTTCACCTGTACTCAAGGGAAGGAGGAAAAGGGTATGGCTTCTTAAAAATGAAAGTCTGTACATTAGCTTAATTTTCCTAGTATATGTGTATTGAAATATTATATTGACATTGAAGTGTGGACCTAAAGGGTAAGAAAATACATAGAGAAGAAAGAGTAAACCGTTTGGATTTTGTAGGCTGAAGAATTTTGTGCAATTCAAACTTGCATGCACTGTCAGAAAGGGTTTTGTCATGTAAAAGATATTAGTTAGAGGGGGTGTTAGGAGAGGAATATTTCCCACACAACTATATCTTCAGAGATCAATTTTCCTTCGGAACACAGTTGGCATGGTAGGAGTTGATTTATCCTCCTGTGGCTGCTGTGATCCTTATAATTCATAGCCCCCACTTTGGGACTATTTCTTTTTTTCTCTAAAGAAAGTGTATGCTAAATGCAGGTGTGTGTAATATCATTTTTTCTATGGGTCTCAGTTCAAACAAATCTTATATTTAGTGGGGCAGCTTTTCACCCTACAGATGTTTTATTTTAAAATCATCACACCCTTCCAGCATGTCCACCAGTACATGATTGTGGAAACTGTAGGCCCAAACATTTGGAGGGCCAAAGTTTCCATCGCCATCTTAGAAACCTGGAGTAGAGCAGAATTGTCTATATGCGTCTCAAAATGCAAAATGAGTGTGGTATGTATATGATAATTTCTAAGTTCTTGTCAAAGGACAGTGTATGTTTCTCAAAGGTAAACTCTGAGTGCCCAGAATATTTTGCACTAGCTCAATGATCCATACAAAAACCAGTAACAAATGCTTAACATTTTTATTGCTGTACGGAGTATTTGTGTCTTGAGCTGACTAAAGCCACTTAATGAGTTCCTGGAGGAAGCAGAAATTGAATTAAGGATTTTCTGATTTACAGCTCATGAGCAAACAATACATTAAGCAAAATGTGTATTCACTACAATTAACTTATTTCACCTCTGCCAATGGGATTTCCTCCCAAATACATGCCTCAGCACTCACAAATGCAGATTATGCCTGTGTTTCCCTTCCAATGATCAATGGCGAAACAGAGCACACTAAATGCAAGATACAAAGGTAAGGAAAAGTGTGTGCTATTTTGTACCACTTCAGAATTCCAAATATACACAAGTCCTATTGTCTAGGTTGAGCCTCAGGCTTTCACATTTGCCTTCTCAGGAATAAATTTCAGTGGCCTAAATTATCTGTTTAAGTTTTCTGTTTAATTATTTTTAAAACATTAAAATTATTTATTGTGGTTTTTAGCTTTTAATGTTGTTTGTTTTAATATTGTAAGCCACCCTGGGCAACTCTTGAGAAGAAAGGTAGGGTATGAATATTTTAAATAAATAAATGATAAATAGCTAGGGTAGAGACATTGAGTCAGTTGCTCAATAGTAAGTCATCAGTTAGTCAATTCTATTTCTTCAGTGGGTCTACTTCAGTTGCAACTAGTAGTCAGATTTACCCCAGATAAGAATATGTAGAAGTATATCCTCAGCTATTACTCTGTGTTACTCTTACTGCAATTGTGTGGAATTTAGTATTGTTTATAAACGGCCCCAGAACAAGTTAACCATAGTATTAATTACTAATTAATCATAGTAATAATGATAAATATCAGTGAAGAATTGGTAAATATCAAGCTTATATATATATTTTTGAAGTAATGTGAAACATTTTGTTAAAGAATACATCACGAAGAAATCTAAGCTCTGCTGTTCTACCATGGCAGAAGACAAATTACTTAACCTTGTTTCCTCCCCACCAGTGGTTCTCAATCATGGGTCCCCAGATGTTCTTGGACTAAAACTTCACTAACTGTGCTGGCTAGGATTTCTGGGAGTTGAGCTCCAGGAACATCTGGGGACCCAAGGTTGGAAACCACTGCTCCACATCATTCTTAAGGCTCTCCTCCTTCTCAAAAGGTTTTTTGGAATTTTATCTTATTTCTACCAGGATACAGTGACATAATCTTAGGTAATATTTGTTTTCTCTTTGATTTTTAAAATAAATAAGTAGCTTAATTATGTTACATATTTTTAAAATATGATCTTCTGTGCAGACCTAACTCCTGTGGGTTCGAACATGTGTTTGTTGGGGAAACTAAGAGAGGACATGAAATCCTGGGTCTGCATAACTGGGTGCAATTTTACCTTCAGGAAAAATTGAAGCACATCGACTACAAAGGCTATGTGGCCAGAAAAAATAAAAGCAGGGTAAGAGGATATTATTAATCTCCAACCCCCACCTCTTTTTCCTTCTCTCTCTGATCATCCCCTAATTTGAACTTGAACGTCAGTCCTTCTATTAGACAAACTGAGGCAGCTGTTTGGCAGAAGAGGGAATAGTAATGAGGTGCTTAAGGTCAGATATATATCATATGGTCTGCCTTGTGCTTCCTGAAGTAGCCTGTTATCCTGATGTGTGGCAAAGGATGCTGTCAATGTGAAATGAGATTTAATTGCCAGCCTTGCTGTTTTTTGCACATGGAAGGGGATGGGTGGGTGGGTCTCCAACATGTCCACCTCAAAGTAAAGGGCTGTTCAGAATGGCACATATGCAGAACTCTTCGTTTGGATTAGCAAACAAGAAACCCTCATATGACATGATGTTGGAGAAGTTATTTCAAAGGTCTCTGAATCCAGATCTTTTTCAAATATTCATTCTCAGCTAGTAGTCTGTCAAACATCTTACCTCCGATTCTTTAAACCCATGCTTGGATCTAATCCCTTCTTTTTTTTGAGATTGACTGCCAGATGTTTAAAAATACACACATACTTCAGGAAATAAGTAGTGTGAAAAGGCTGAGGGGTGTATTTTACTTCCTGTTAGCCTTCTACCTCAGATGTGTCTCTCATCTGTGTCTTTCTGTGTGCAAGCATGTCAGAAAGAAAGAAAGAAAGAAAAAATAAGGAGAAAAGAAAAATGGCCATGCCCAAATTATTGCTGGAAAAGGCACACCATCCTCATATTTTTTAGTGGGGGTGAGGGTTGATTCAATTGTAGTCCGGAATATAACTTCCTGATATTTTGTTTTATCTTTTTTCAGCCTGATGAGGATGACCAGGTTTTAAGCCTTCAGTTTAGCTGGAAGGGACTTGTAAAGCCTGTAGGGAGCACTTTTATCGGTGTCAGCCCTGAGTTTGAATTTGCACTTTACACAATTATTTTTCTGGAGTCATCTGAAAGAGTAACACGTCAGAGGGTGAGAATAGAAGAATATGAACTGGAGATTGTTGTCTACCGCCATGGACGATGCATAGGATCCGCCTATCCAGTCCTTCTTAGCAGCAATAACGAAGATTTATATTGAAAATCTCAGAAGTTTATTTTTGAAGAAAAAACTTTTTTTTCAGCTACTGTGTCAAATTTTAGTTTTCTACATGTCTTCATGGAATGCTACTTAGCATGTCTGATAACGAATATTATGTATAAACCCAACACACTTCTTTTGCTATTTTTCACCTGTCTTTATATTGGTTTGAAAGCAATTTTTGTGAGAGAAAATGGCATTGAAATGAAAATAGAGTTTTCTTCAAATAAGTGGATGGCTGTCCCCTAATGCTTTGCTAATCAGCTTTTCAATGGTCATGGCTGTTCAGCCTTGCATCTCACATCTTGCCCCTCCCCCCATCCCCTACCAGAAAAAATGCTTTTAAAAAAGTATTTGCCACAGGCCTGTTCTTAGTGTTTTATGAGAATCTATGTTTCTGAGGCAAACTAATGCTAGTGAAATCTTATAAGCTGTAAGCATTAATTCCACCCTCATTTCCCTTTCTTTATCAGGTCTACATCAGACTCTTGAATATATTCTATATTTGCATGTGTGTGTGATATACAGCATTGGTCTCCTTCTTTCAGGGGTTGCAAAAAGTTGGACCTGCCAGATGAACCGAACCAATTCCAAGTTCTTCAGTTTTGGCATAATGTTATCTGCATCCCTTTGTACAGAATAAGTGCCTCAGGGCTAGCAGAAAAAAAAAAGCAGACTGGGTATTTTAAATATTTATTAAGCAGACTGGGTTTAACAGTCTTTATACAACACAATTTGCATAAGTTCTCAAGATACATCCTGTATACAATCACAAAACCATGACATGAATTTATACATAGAGTGAAAACCAAGATGATTTACAAGCATTTTTCTCTTTTATACAGTTTCTCATACTATTTTTCTTTGTTTCTCATACTATTTTTCTTTTGTACAACTTTTAGAACATGTTCTGCAGTGTGTGTGTTTTTTTCTCTTGGAGGACTAAAAGGCAAAAATCAAAGAGTAACTGATTTATTCATTCAAGTCAAAAAAAAGATTAACAAACCACCATTGATGCATGCAACATTCATTGTGGAAATATTACATCCTTCCCAAGACTACTAATGGTGGTTGTTGTATTTTAAATTTTATTCCTGGTGTATGTGTTCTCCCCACTGCCCTCAAATACCAGGGATACTGTACATGTTATCTGATAGGATGATGGCACACATGCTAGTCAGTGACTGCTGAGCACCTGAGCACGCCACTTAACATCTATACAAGATACAGTCAACTTGTATTGACACTGACATGCTTGGAACTCCAAATGGGATTCAAAATCCAAACTGAAACTTTTTTTTTCTTAATACAAAATGCATATTTACAAGAAAGTAACAAATTAAGAAAAACAGCTTTCTTCGGGTCACCTAGTCAGAGTTCATTATATAATATAATAGCACATAATTTAATAGCACATAATTTAAAAACCCATTAGTGTGTTTGTTATTTTGTCAAAAGTATTAATCAGAGCATATTGAGGAAACATCAAAATACAATTTATGGGTTAAAGAGAGAGTATCCAGTTTTTATTTTAGTCTAGTAACAACTTCTGCAAACTGGGCAGGAAGGCATGGACAGTCTCCAGATGGAATGCTAGTAGATTTGTACACTGCATTTCTTCACCACTTTAAAGATCCAATTATTAAGATATTCTTTTCCTCACATATACACATATGTATGTACATATGTTGACATTCAATGAACCTTGGAACATAAGACACTGTAGCAATGCAAAAAAGGTTTTAATACAGCTTGAGGTATGATTCAAATAAAAAGATAAAAATATACTATTAACATCTGTGTGAAATCTTCTGGAAACTAAATATGAATTAAATTACCCTATATTGAGCATACATACAATATAAGAGATGTTTACATTTTACTTCTTCATCCTCATAGAAAGAAGGAATATCAGCTGGTTACCAGCTACAATACTCACCCTCCCCACCCCACTGCCCTGAACAAGCTATTTCAAAAACTAGGCATCTAAAAAAAGGAACTTAACTGACAATGAAAGCTCCTGATGTAAACTGAAGAGAAATCTTTTCCATGTGCTTGCAGTGAGGTACCCGAGATCTTCAGAAATCCATTGAACAAGAGTGATATAAATTTGAGGGGTGGGAAGTCAGATCTCAAAAATGAATATAAAGCATCTATATTGCTCCTGGATACTATCCCTTTAAAGGATTGTGACGACAACAAAAGTTCAACATTCATCATAGGAACTCACAGGCCTTGTCTGGAAAATAAAGCATGAGCTGGCTGCTGCTCAGTAAAGAAAATGAAGGAAAAACAAGCAACCTCTTTAAAGAAATGACTAGTCATTTGTCAATACACACACATTCTGTGCTTTTAGCTCATATTTCAAGCTTCTCTCCCTGTGCGTGGCTGTTTATTCAACACAGCTTTTATCTCCAGCTCAGCAGACAATATATATATATATATATGTCTCTCTGTGTACACATATATATGTAAAATAAAGCGCATTGTGCCATCAACAATCTATATTTTTCAAGGATATGCACACTTAGATAACTTTCACTCACTCCATGTGAAGGTCTTGCCACATTAAAGCACTTCTGTTTGACAGAAGAAACAAACAGAATTCAAAGCATCAAGGAGAAAAATAAATATGCAGAAATATCTGTACATTTTCTTAAATACCCAAAGTCCCTTTTTTTCCCTTTAAAAAAATAATTGCCACAAGAAGGGTTTTGTTGCCTTTGTTAATTAAAAGAAAACGGTATTTAAAGGTGATTCCTCATTGCATAGAATGATTCCAGTACAGCCCAGACATTGGGTGAAAAGAAACATGGCACGCTTTGGAGGCATCTTTTAGTCTCAGCACTGATGGAAACTTAATTTAGTGGATGTGTTACGTGTTCACTTGGTCTTTGTGATACATGAGACACATGAAAGGAATGGTGATTCAAACCATCCTGGGGTTGGACAAGCCACTGCTCATAGGAAAAAAAAGCCATCTTTCTTAATAAGCTCACATTCTCACAAACACATTCATCTGAACATTTGTATCATAGTGAGCAGAATCCAAAGACTTAGAACATTACACATGGCCCTGGAATCAAGGACTGGTGGCTGATGGAGGTGGCGAATTCAGGAAGCCACGAAAGCAACACTAAAAAATTACATAGATATTAGCCAAATAAAACAAAATCTAGCAGTTTCTTGTTCCTGAATCCCTCACGCAATCCATATAACAGTATGTTGCAAAAGCAGGCTAGATTTTTCAATTAAGAGTGACAATTATAGGCTTACTAGTAGGATAAGCCTTCCTCTTGGTGCCCACGGCAGCCTGAAATCTCTACGGCAACCATTGTAAGATTCACCGGCCTCTTTATAAACCTTAGCAAGAACAAAACTGCAAAACATTTGCACAAAACTGCATGTCTTGCCATTTTGAACCCAATCCCTGGAAACTTTGCTTAGCAATTGAATTTGAAACTGGCTATTTTAGGAAACAGAGAACCAGCCCTTATGAAATATACTGTTTCTTTGACTTGAAAAGAAGAGTGTGATGGGAAGTAGCAGACAATTTCTACATGATGCAGCAGTTCAAAGAGCGAGCCATATAATTGCCCCAGAGAATTGGAATGTGATTGACCTTGTTTCCGGGAAGAGAATTCGAACATCTGTTAATCATGCATTCATGTGCTGTAGCTTCTTCCAGTCATAACATGATTGACTAAAAGGAAATATGCACTGTATTAAAATGTAGAATTCAATCAGGGAGCCTGTACCTCATGCCACACATTGGCTGAAGAGATTATGCATAACTTTTATTTTCAGTCCCTTCCATTTAGTATGTATTTTCTAGACTTGAGGCATTTCTCTCCTGACAAGGGGGTTCATTATTTAAAATAACCATGAGAAGTTGTTCACAGTGAATCCAGCTTCATGCTTAGCTTGATTGTTTTTGTATGTATTTTCAGAAGTTTCTTTGACAGTCTTATGAAAAAAAGTTACATACATGAGCACCGCTTTGTTTGAAATCAAACTGTATGTTCTTCTCATTGGTTATTTTCTGCCAGTACTTGTCAGTATTGAAAGCTGAGTCATTCCATATCGTTAAACCATTTAGTTGCCCATTTTCCATTACAACAGTATAAAGCCAATTATTATAACAAGGGAGCTCAATTGTTGTTTAGGAAGTCCATTTGAGAAGCCATAATCTTAGCTTTATTTTTAATGCCCCTAGTGCATAAGAATGAATCCTGCAGGGCTAGAAATCACTAGGAACAGATCCTTCATTTTATAAACAGGATTTGACATTACAGTACAGCGTTGCTGAAGGCCTTCTTTCAATGCTTCATCTCCATTTGCGAACGCATACACAAAATCTAGTCGCACAAATTGTGTGATATGCCTTCTGGATGCCAAGTGTTTTTATTCACCTACAACCCCCTAAATGAGCAGAGAGGCATGAGCACGTGGAGCTGATGTATGAAGTACTTCATGCTAGACAATTTGAAGTTCACAAGGGCAAGACAGATGAGGCAGAAGTATTCATCCCAGTGCTTCAAAGCCCTTTGAATCGACTCAGTTTTTGTAAACAACTGACTCTAAAAGAGTAGGCTGAACTGCAATTTCTTCCACACAACCATTGCCATTTTCATGATATGGGGCTGTACAGCCCCGCCCCCAATGCTTTTACCCTTTCCAAAATGACAATTATTCTTAACGCTTTCTGCACTCTTTAACTTTTCCAAAATTCTCATTTTGCATCAGTAACATGAAGAAACAGAGAGATTATCATCCTGAATGTATATGCCAAAGCATACAACCCATAAAGGAAAAATAATACAAAATAGAAACACTGCCACCGTTTAAAATAAAAAATAAAAAATCCTGCCATTTGTCTCCTCGGGCACCCTCTCACTATACCAAACAGTCAGATATTCTGAGGTGCAGAAGAACACAAGCATTCTGACAAGTGAGAACTAGAAAGGCAGTCAACTTAGGTGCTTTTGCATAACATGTTCTCCTTTCTGATTGCACCAAGAACCAGATTAACTTTCTTTGAGACTCTAACCCTAGTCACAACAAAATTCCTCATCTCAACATCTGCCTTCGAGTGTATGGGTACTATTCTTTTGCTTTGGAGCTACAAAGACCCTAACATCACACAGTTTTCAAGTTATTCTTCTGTTTCAAGCACTCATTTTATTCTCTGGGCCTAGGGTGGTGACTGTGTTTTTTCTTTGCTGCTGTTTTTTTTTTTAAATACAGCAAAACGAGTTGACTAGCCCTCATGAAAGTGTGCTAAGTAGCCCAGATTTTTTTTTCTACTTCATATTCTGAAAGCCTAGCTAAACACAATATCAAAGTAGAGTCACGGAGTCACACAAGCAGACTCTTGAAAAGGCTCAGTGCCAAAAGACAACATCTTTGCTTCAGTGTGTTTGTGTTGAGCTGACCAAAAGTTTGTGCCAGTTTACTATTCTTTTCCTGAGGTCCACTTTGTCAAGCCAGATGTATGCCTCACCAATCAAGGTCTTCTTCATAAACTTTCCTCCATTGGAAACTAGAAGAATCTGGAAACAGAAGAAGAGAGGGTGAGAGGAAGATTTGTATTAGAAAGATGTAAATGCCAAGAATATGGCTTCAGCCTCTATGGGATGGTGTTGCACTCTCCTTAAAGAACCAACTCCAGTTGGTTCACCAGCTGTAGCCCTATGTAGAGAAAATGAACCGGGCCTTAGATATATATACATCCCAGGATTCTTCAGAACACAACTTGAAAATTAGTGACTCAGAGAACATAAATCTCATTTTCATAGGTATATCTCATTAGCCACTAGTATACGTATACAAGACCCTCCTAACTAGCCATTCTCTCCTTCTCTAGCTCAAATAAAATGAACTAAATTGGATTTGTTTTTAACATTCACGCCTTTGCCTTTTCTCAGTCTGGTAAGTCCAATGCAACATTTCCTTTCCTCATAAGAAGAGGATACACTAAATGACACCGGCTTGTCTACGGTCACCCAGTGACCTGAAAGACTGAACAAGAAGGTGAGCCAGAACACAAGAAAGGGTGCCTACTGCAGATGGACAGTCTGATTAAACACTGACCCCTTCTTGTTCCACTTTACACAGCACATCCCCCCAAGAGCATAGCATTTTATTTATTCTCCTTAAAAATTCTGCTTACTTCTGTGCTTAAATTCCTAAAGCACTTTGTATTTGATGAGTGAGTGCTCCTTTAACATTCGGATACCCAATAGCTTATACTATGTGCAAAGGACAGCAGCTTAGACAGCATGATTTTCTGTAGATTAATAGTGGGAACAGAAAGGGTTAACTGCTGCTGTTCTTTCGCTTAAACTTCCTAGCAGGGCTTTTCAGGTAGAAAATAAATGCATCACTGGGGCACTGTTCATGGAACATATAACATCTCTCATTTAATGCTGAGTTTGGCCCCCAGCAAATGATGAGTAATTGAATGAAAAAATAATTTTAAAGGCCCTGATAGGAAGCAGAATATTCAGTTTATATTAAACTGAAGGATTACCTGGAGGGAATGTCCAGTGGGACTCAAACTGAATCTAAACGTTTCATTGAATGAAGGCTCTCTGTCATGTCTGCATACTCTTGTTTTCTTCTTGATTACTCTCTTCTGAGTTGCAAGGTTGACAACATACAGCTTTACATAGAGATCTGTTCAAACAAATAGCTCAATTTATTATATAGAACCCCACTAGTTGTCTTTACTCTTAATTACTTTAGTAGCAAATTCATTCATGAGTCCTCAACATTTAAGAGGGGTGTCTATTGTTTTTCTCTAAACAACAAATAGCAAAAATGCTGGGAAAGTTTGAAGGCAGCAATAAAAGAGGAAGACCAAATACAAGATGGACTGATTCCATAAAGGAAGCCACAGGGTTGAGTTCACAAGAGCTGAGCAGGGTACTTGAGGACAGGACATTCTGGAGATTGCTCATTCATAGCATCACCATAAGTCAGAGGGAACTTGACAGCACATTACAAGAAGAATAAGAATAAGAATAAGAATAAGAATAAGAATAAGAATAAGAAGAAGAAGAAGAAGAAGAAGAAGAAGAAGAAGAAGAAGAAGAAGAAGAAGAAGAAGAAGAAGAAGAAGAAGAAGAAGAAGAAGAAGAAGAAGAAGAAGAAGAAGAAGAAGAAGAAGAAGGAAGAAGAAGAAGAAGAAGAAGAAGAAGAAGAAGAAGAAGAAGAAGAAGAAGAAGAAGAAGAAGAAGAAGAAGAAGAAGAAAGGGAACAGAAGCCATTCCAGAAAAGTTAAAGTAGTACTCTGTGAATTCAGAATCTCTACAGCCATGAAAGGGACATCTATTTGGGTATCAATGAAATTTACCAAATTAAATGAAGGATTAGATGATACGGCCAAAGATGACATTAAGAAAGCCACTTAGTTGTGCATTAGATTTTAATCAACCATATAACTGGGAAACCTCTTTTTCCTATGTCCTATGTTCCTGAGGACATCTGTCTCCTATCATCTTCAGTGATCGGCATTTAAGCCTCAAAAACCAAGAATGTTACTGCTAATCACATCATTAATATAATGATGTCACTAAGCTTGTCTTATTTTTTGACACAATATTAAAGAACTATTATATGATTGATACCTGGTAAATGATCTGGTGATTTAAACTTGTAGGTGATATTTCTGCATTGTAGAATCTCTACTATCAGTTGTTCCCCATCAGTCTTCATTTCCTTCTTTAAAGCAATCTTGATTTCACCCATCACTTGGGTTTTACCTGTAAAAGAGGAAAGGAAAAAGAAACAAAGAAATCAGCTGCAGTGAAAGAGGGAGAAAGTATGCTACAGATTTCATATTATTGCCATCTAGTCAGATTGAATCAAATATTTTTTAAAATCAAATAATATTTACACTGCTAATCAGCACCTTTGTCTCATGCCTTTAGGCTCACTGTACACTGAGTGGCACAAGACGTGGCGCTTAAAATGTTGTAGAAGACATTGGAATGCCATGCCCAGTTGACTGAAAGACAAATGTTTATTTCTTCACTGATAAATCCCCCCAATCCATGTGGAAGCCATGTCCTAGTAGTGCAGCCTGATTGTCAATTATGGATTTTTAGTAGAAATATGTGGCAGGAAAGCTACAGTGGTGCCCCACATAGCGACGTTAATCCGTTCCAGGATTAACGTCGCTATCCGGAAACATCGCTATATGGAACGTAAAACCCCATAAACTCCGTTTAATGCGTTCCTATGGGGGGAAAACTCACCGGTAAGCGAAGATTCCCCATCTGGCTGCCATTTACGCTGCCTCGGTAAGTGAGGGCAGGGCGCGAAAACGCTGCGGGCAGCCATTTTCTGCACCCGGCTGCCATTTTGGAACCACCGATCAGCTGTTTCCCTAACATCGCAATGCGAAGATCGGTAAGCGAAATGCTTACTGATCATCGCAATGCAATGTTTTGCCACCTAAAACATCGCAATGCGATCGCATTAGCGATCGCAAAAACGCGTCGCTATGCGGATTCGTCGTTAAACGGTGCGCTCATTAAGCGAGACACCACTGTATATGGAAAGATATACAAGAAATGTGAGTGAGATGTGAAAAGTGCAGTCTCTGGCTCCCTCTAGTGGCCGTTTCTGGCTCTGGCTCCCTCTAGTGGCCGTTTCGGGTAATACATGTGAAAATAGTTCTTTCTGGATTTTTTTTCCTTTTATAATTTTTAATCCTTTCAGGTCAGGTTGTGGATAAGTGAATCAGTGGATACTGATCCTGTGAGTAAGGGGGCCCTACAGTATTCTTGGGGAATGATATAGTTGGCTGGATATCTCAGTGGTTTAGGTATCCAGTTACAGAGCCAGAGGTTGGGAATATGATTCCACACTGGGAGAAGAGCCAGCCTGTGTAGCCTTGAGCACACTATACAGTCTCTGGGTGCTCCCAGATGAAGAGAATGGTAAATCACTTTTAAATATTCTGTACCTAGAAAATCCTAGAGTCAGCATAAGTCAGAATTGACTTGATGCCATGCAATTATTTATTTTTAATGAGTGATATAACCTGTAGTTACAAAATTACCTTTTCAGTATAATGAGTACAATGAGAAACATTTAAGTTACTTATGTCTCATGAGTAATACTTCCTTTCTGAAGTTACTCTCAAAGAGCATTTGAGTTATTATGACAGGTATTTTATGCCATTTTCTTTGTAATCCTAAATGGGAAAGCAAGTGGGCTATGCCTTTGTATTCTATACGTGCACAAATATTTGCGTGCCACAGTATTAACACTGTGAGGGAATGAGGGAACATTTCCCTGTATTTTTCTGGCCCAAGCAATCAGACAAGTGGTCTGGTTGCCAAGAAGTAATAAGTAATACAAGAAGTTATTTTTAAAATGTAACATTCCAAGATTGATTATACTTCCAATTACCTGTAATACCAAGAGATGAAGGGATTTATAATCTAACAACTACGGTAGTCTCTTAAACAAGAGGAGAGCCAATGTGGATGCCCACATGTTTGTTTCCTCTTGTAGATACAGAATGACAGCAATTGGTACAACACCAGCAGTTATTCTTGAATGTTCAACAATATCCACTTTATAGATCATGGCCTGTTAAGTGCTTGACCATACAATGGTGCCTCGATTTACGAATGTCCCGACTTATGACCATTTCGAGTTACGACCAGCTCCGGCTGCAAAATTTTGCTTCGACTTGCAGCCAGAGCTTCCAGTTATGAACAGAAAAAGGCAGGGGGAAAAGGTGGGAAATTCGAATTGCTAACTGTTGGTAGGTGAAGAGGCTGCTTCTTTGTAGCTCTTTCACCCCAACGGTTAGAGTGAGTGTGATCAGGGAAGGCTTTGGACTGCCTGGTAAGGTAAGGTGCTGCTTTCTACTTTTTAAAAAACTGTTCTGTGTGAATTTTTCAGCATGGTTTTGGGCTAGAGGGTTATGCTTCTGTGCTGTGATGGGTCTTGGGGGTTTGCTTTTTGGTATTTTTTTCCCATTTCCAATGGGTCTTGGGGGGTTTGTTTGCTTTTTGGATTTCCCCCCCATTTCCAATGGGTCTTGGGGGGGTTGTTTGCTTTTGGGTTCCCCCCATTTCCAATGTGTCTTGGGGGGTTTGTTTTTTGGTTTCCCCCCATTTCCGATGATTTTTGATGGGTCTTTTGCGTGCTATGGAAGTTAGGCCTCCGATGCATCTTGAGGGGTTTGCTTGCTTTTCGCTTTGCTTTTTTTTGCATTTCCAATGAGTCTTGCATGTGTCACTTGCTTTCTGCTTTGCTTTTTTTGCATTTTTGATGGGTCTTACACATTTCGCTTGCTTTCTGCTTTGCTTTTTTTGAATCTCCGATGGGTCTTGCACACTTTGCTTGCTTTTCTTCC